TATTTTGGGCCAGGCTCCAGGTGCCCACACCAGAAACATCAACAACTGGTTCTGAAGTCACCACTGATGAGGGTTGGAGCCTTCCCTACTGCCAACTACAGCACGGTTTGCCACACGGCTGTTGTGGTTGACCCACAGACCTCCCAGGAACATACAGGGGCAGCACAAGGAACCTCCAAGACTTTCCAGACAAGAAAGATCCATCTTGACACTGGGAACACAGAGTTCAGGCTCCATGATAGTGACAGGAGCTGTAGAAAAGAAAACTGGGAAGTAAGCACTGTAAAGATGGTAAAACGTGGGTGCTTCTTAGAAGGATACTGCTGGCATCTCTAACAGGCCACTGATAAAACACAGTGCCAGGCAGGTGATGGCCTGACAATAAGGACCTGGACTTGTCCTGCGCTTTAGGTAAGGGTGAAGGCAACTGTAAAAGCTACCTTGCTTAAAATGACCCAGAGGTTCCAAGTGCCACCATGTGACACCTGTATTAACCCCATCAGAGACCTGGGCTCCCAGAGAGAACACGCAAGCAAGTCCTTAAGACAGCTGAAAACCAGTGAGGGAAAGCAAAGTGAGACCTGATGCAGTGGTAGGGACAAGCCAAGTGAGATCAAACTGAAGGACTTGATCCATCCAGGGCAGGGTCTTACCCCCAGCTCACACCAACCACACGAGCAGCTGGGACTGATGGGGAAAATATGCCCAGGAACAGGGAGCAGAGACAAACTCTGTGGTGCAGCTACTAAACAGCAGCAGCTTAGGGTTCTTCTGATGCTTACAGGGAAAAGAGCAGGGCTCTCCAGCAACCTTCCAGTCCCACACAGGGCAGAGTGCAGAGCGACAGGAATGGTCCAACCTATCTGATATGGGGATAGGAAAACCATCAGTTATCTCAGAGAACACAGAGAAGTAGAACACATGGAGTCTTCTATGTCTCATCTTGATCTGTATAGAAATTACGACATCCCAGTGTGGATGGGTGGACAAGCTAGGTGGGAAAAACTGGTTGGATGTTAAGGTTCAGAGTGTGGATGTTAATGGGTCATTCTCTACCCAATGGCCAGTGACTGGAGCACACCAAGTTTGGAGGTAACACCAAACTGGAGGGAACGGTCAACAGCCATAGGAACAGGGGTGCCATGCAGAGGGACCTGGGCAAGCTGGAAGAATAGGTCAGCGAGACCCCCATGAAGTTGGAAAGGTACCGATGCAAAGTCCCATGTCTGGGAAAGCAGCAGCTTTGCTGAGGAGCAGCTCAGCAGAAAAGGCCCTGGAGGCGTTGGCAGACAGCAAGCTGGATCAGAGCCACAGGGATAGGAACTTTCTGAGCAGAGGGAATCTCCTTCCCTGCAGCACAAGTGTTAACGAAGACCCCACCAAAGCCTTGCTCATGAGCTGGTGTTGATGCCCGGAGTAGCACAGAAAGGCTCTCACATCGCTGGTCCACAGCACCAGGCATGGATCATCATTCTGGTGACGTTCAGCTTGCAAAGGGGAATGATTTCATTTCCAAGTCAAATCATGCCATTTGCATGCTCCAAGAGGGACGGAGCCACTCACAGCATTGGAAAGGTCTTCTGCTATCATACTGTCAACCTGGCACTGGGGAAGGGGAAGGAGAAACCCAGAACGCTGCAGCTGCACGCAGTCTTTTTCTAAGGACCATGAGAAGCTGTGGACAGGCTGACCTTTGAGCCATCCCATGCTAGGGAGAAGCTGTAGTAGTGAGGGTGAATACCCTTACCACAACATAAAAAAGCACCTCTTGAAAAGACGACTCACGAGTCTTCACCCTCCAACACTCCCCAGCACTGTCATCCTGAACTTAACCTTGTGAATCCAGGATTTCAATCCCCTGGGATCCAGCACAAACCACTGGTGGGAGGGAGAACACCAGTGACTGCCCGAACCACCACTCACAGTGCTCACACAACTGCTACCTGTGTGCCTGGCCACACGGCCCACTCTTCTGCTGCTGCCTTCCTGTGCTTTGAATGGGGTGGTGGGTTCAGCCCATCAACAGCAGCAGCTGCTGATTCCACAGTCCCAGCTTTAGTGCTTGCTCTTCCTTCTCACCACGGGCTCCTGACCCATAGCATACTCCAACCAACACCCAAGTGCAGCCAGTGAGCACCTCAAGGCATATGGGAGCTTGGAGAGACAACTGGTGCTTTGGCAGCACTTTGTTTCTGATCAGTGATGCTGCTAAAGCAGCTGGAAGGGAAAAAGAAAAGAATGGCACCAAAAGCCCAACATTCCTCTCATCTAATTCATTTTGAGTATGCAGCATCCTCCCTGAGAAAGGTCACCTCCATCCTGCGAGAACATATTTAGATGAGGCTGGGGAGCTTTGGGAAGGGCTGCACCTGCACAGGGGACTCCCTTACATGACCCATGGATGAAAAGTCAGCTAAGAGCAATTGAAGACAGATGTAGGTACAAACCTGGCTCAGGAAAACAGAGACTGAGACTGCCAGAAGCTGGGAAGATACTCTGGGAAAACTCTCACCCCTAGAGCATCCTGCTCTTGCACTCCTTGAAGCCTGGTACCAGCCATGAAGAGGTGAGACTCTCCCAGCGCTTCTGCCCCACCACATAGGCCACGAGTTGGGGTCAGATGCCTTTGCCACAGGAGGAACCCAAGGCAGAAAGAGGTGGCCCATCAGCCCAGGCAGTGGGACGCTGATTGGCCTTAGGGAAGTGGTTACAGCTTCTAAACCCTTTACTCACTGCTATCTTGAGTCCTCTCAGGCCACCAACAGCAAGCTGTCTGATAAGAGCAGCAGTCAGATTAGCCCAAGGGATGTGCAGTGAATGGACTAAACAGCCCCACAGCAGCAGAGGCACTTGGGTGAGCTCCCAGCAGGCACAGAGCCATGGCCAGTACACATGTGGCTCTCCCCTGCCATGCTGAAAGCCACGGCAGCTCCCATCATCACAGCAATGGGAAGAAAAGAGGTGAGAAAGTGCCAGACTTGGCAGCAGAGTGAGCCAATGACATGCTGAAGCCTTGAGGAAGTGATCCAAGCAGGAGTCAGAGCTTCTCTTTAAAGGCTGGGAGCTCATCACACTGGTACCAGGCTCCGGTGTGGGTCTACCAATAAACAAGTGGTTGGGCTACCAACATTCTCTGTAACACAGATTGCCCGTTAGTCACACTGCTTCAGAAAGGAAAAGGCAGACCCTGGTTTCTCCTCATTCAGACCCTGTAGAACGCCACAGGCCATGAGCAAGCTTGCAGCAGGAGCCATGGGCCTCCCTCCACCACTTGCTACAGGCACCCTATGTCCCGCAAACCCCCAAAGCAGAAAGATTGCTCTTTCTTCATCTCCCGATTCCAAAAGTTGAGCTCATCTAAGGAGGCAGCAGTTTCCCACAAGAAGCCTTTCCCTGGAGACAAGTACTTTTACACTGGGTTGGAGAGCAGTCAGATGGGCCTGTCCTCAATCCCCAGAGCAGAGCTTCACAGACAGCAGTGCTCTCTGCAGAAAGCAGACCTCCCCACATCAAGCCCTTTCACAAGCCTCTCATAATACAAAGCAGATAGAGGAAGGGCTGAGCTATGGTGGGTTCATGGAGAAAGGGCCGCCCACCACAGCTGTTCATGTGCATGAGCACCCCAAGGTGCCCAGGCTATCATGGAGAGGAGGACAGGCTTCCCCTCTCTGCAGGCACCCACACCTCATCACACAAGTGCACTCCCGCCTTCAGAGCTACATCAGCTATGACCAGACAACCACCACTTAATAGGTGAATTAACTGCATGGAGTAAGTCTCAAGTTCCTGCAGGTGATGCCACCAGAGTGCCCATAAGGATGCTCAGTTTGACCTTCAAAGTCATTGTCCCTCTCAGCATCCCAGCCAAGATGTAGCACAGTTTATAAAGAGCCTGCTGGTCTCAATCTTAAGAAATTACTTTTAAACAAGACACTAAGCTGTTTATTCAGCTCCTGAAACTCTGTGTTTGTGGTGCTTACAGCACTCTGCATGGCTGCCTGACCCCTGCACATATTCATGGTGAGCACACATGAGTTCTGCTGCTCTTTTCAGGACAGCATTCTTAAGCTGCATGAAATTATACTTCACATTTAGACAACTGGGTCTGTAATAAGGCCCCTTTCTCACATGGGCCACGTGTGATGCTCGCAGGGACTGTACAGCACGGCATGGTCACACTTGAGACTCTATGGCCTAAAGCCTCCTGAATCAACAGTGAGAAAACAGCATTTCCAAAGGGCTGGTGATCAGTGAGCTCACCTGCAGCCACCTGAGCTGGTACAGGAGCAGGATGCTGACAGACACACTCTACTCTCAAGGGACACCTGAACACTGGTGTTAGCTGAACACTGAGTCACAGCGTTTCTGGAAGGTCCTCAGTAAAGGACTGTGCTTCAGTACAAGCACAGACAGAATGACTGGTCCGAGCTCAGCAACATGGAAACAGCAGGAGAAAGCAGAACTTGGATAGGAAGAGAACTCCTGCATTAAACTGCAGCCTGAGGGAGGCACTTCCCAGCATCTGCAAACCTATGGAAGCAGTCCCACTACAAAGTGACAGCTTCCCTTTTTCCAGCCATGTTACCCAGTGTATTTACTAGGAAGCTATTCCAAAGTTTCACTCCTCTTGTGGCTAAAAGTCACCTTAACTCCCAGTTTAAGTTTACCAATGGCAACTTGAGTGCATTGACTTCTGTGGCAACCCTGTCCTTCATGTGTGAGGATTCTGCTCCTATACCATTTACTGCCACACTTCTGCAGACAGCAGTAACGTCTGTCCACCTCCATTACACACAGCCAGATAACCCAAGCTCTTTCACTCTCCCACCATAAGCCCCCACCTTCCCAGCACTTCACATGGGTACCACACATCCCCGTTCCTCCCTGCAGCTCCAGGCTGGAGGCAGGCTCAGAGCAGACATCCTGGCTCAGGGAGGGGGTGCAGCCTGCTCACCCTACAGGCGCTGCAGACCCCCATGGCAGGGGCATGAGGAGCTCACCTGGAACGCTGTCTGGCTGTTGTAGTTGCGAATCTCTTTGCTGGCACCGCGGAAGAGGAGAACCCGAGCGCAGCTCTCCTGTAGGAGCAAGCACGGGGTAAAGGGTAAAGGGCAGTTAGCACCACAGTCAACAGAGCAGCCAACCCACGCAGAGGCACTGTGCTCAGCAAGCTTGCTTTGGAAAGGGCCCAGAAGGATGCTCAGCACTACCAACTGGGCACCCCAACCCAAGCTGGCCAAGCCCACCCATCGCCATGGCTATGCTCAAGCATCACCCCAGGAGCACAGTGGCTACTACATGCTCCCAGGTACTGGCATTTCCTAAAGCCTTTTACTGGTTTTGCCTTGGGTACTCTGGGCTTCTAACCAATGCTAATGCATGCTTACAAGCTCCTGCACTGTTTAATGCTGCTCTATCATCCACACAGGGGACAGGCACTTGGGTACCAGGTTCCTTGAGGTGCAGAACACACCCATCACCTAACAAGGCACAAATGAGCCTCTGTATACCACTGCCTATAACAGTGGTCAATGTTTAAAGCATGCACACCTCAGAAACTGAAAATTCCCTTTGTAATTAAAATACACATAATACAAGGTACAAAAACCCCTGGGAAGAACAAAACCTACAGGAGGAATCCTTAGATACTGACCTCCAGATCTCAGAAAGAGAACAGTAGGTGCAAGAGCTCAGGGGCTCCTCTGCCACCCTCAGCTTCTCCTGAAGGGAGGTGAGGGACCCCACAGGAAATCAAACAGGAACGGTGCCTACATCACCTGGGCAGCCTTCAGAACTCAGAGAGTAGCAGCAAGGACTGAGAGCCATGAGTGAGCAAGACCCACAGGGCTTCCTCAGAGCTGGGCAAAGCCCAAGAGCCGCCCAACAAGCCCCACCTGAGCCATGGGCCCACCTGAAATTCAGTGTGACCACCTGGGTCAAATTAGCACCTTCCACCTAGGACACTGCCCCCTCCCCACCCACAGTGGGGCTTCAGTGGGAAGGAGCAACAGGAATGAGAGGGAAAGGACAGAACACCTGAGGCAGTGAATCAGCAAAACCAGCTTGGGAAGGGGAACAGATTGACCCAGGGACTCCTCCTTGGCCACCTGCCTCTGGAAATCCCAAACCAGGCTGGGGCTGCCCACAGGAACAGCCCCATTGCAGCACAGATACAGGCTTGAACCTGCCCGAGGGGAGACTGAGCTGAGCTCTGAGGCAGAAGCTCTTCCCTGTGAGGGTGCTGAGGCGCTGGCACAGGGTGCCCAGAGAAGCTGTGGCTGCCCCATCCCTGGCAGTGCTCAAGGCCAGGTTGGACACAGGGGCTTGGAGCTGCTCCAGTGGAAGGGGTTGGGGTTGGAGCTGGAGGAGCTGTAAGATCCCTTCAACCTCTACTGTGATTCTGTGATTCTAATTCCCGCAGAGGTACCTGGTTGTAGAGAGCACAGATATGAAGAGCGGTGTTTCCTGAGGCATTCTGTGCAGTCATATCAGCTCCATAGAAGAGCAGATGCTCCAGGTGCTGAACATGGCCATAGCGACACGCCTGCTCCAAACAAAACGGGAAAATCAGGGAACGGCAGAGAGATGCTGGATTCATCCATGCTAGAAAAGGGGAAGGAGGCTGGACCTGTGACCTGAAATGTCCCATTAACATGCATGAAGACACACGTAATATGCACCTGAATGATCATGGGACAAATTACCTTGGGATCAAGTGCAATCATACTGGTACCAGAGCCCTGCACACACTGTTTGCTATCTCAGTATCACCGTCCAGTGAAAGGATTCCTAAAGCACAAGCAGGCAAAGGGGAAGACAGTGGCCCTACATCTCTAGTAACTGCTGTGCTGTTTTCCTCTATGATTTATCTCTCCTGAGACCAGCAGTCCTCAAAGACCTGCTCAGGCAATGGAGGACAGAGGCAGAAGGATTACAGTAAATCAAGAGCACAAGCACACATCTCTTGGTTTTATATCCTCATGCTCCCCGTCCAATACTCATCCACCTTCAGGGGCTGAAAGCTGGGTCCTTCTAGAGGCCATGGGCCCAAAGCCAAGCTGCCCCCAATGGTCCAAGACACCAGGACTCTAAGCAGAGCCCCAGCATCTTCCCTTCTCCCAGAAGGTCTCACTCTTGAAGCACAAAGCCAGCTCAAGTTCCCTAACTCCTATCCCATGTCTTCCCTACACCAAACCCACTTGTCAGTGTGTAATGCAGGGACAGATACAACTGTGGCTCGGAACCAGGGTGCCTCAGGCACTGGACCAAGATCCCAAACGCTATCCTATGAGCCAGCCATAACCTGGGGAGGCTCCCCGACACTACTGAACCATCCTGAGCATTGACCTGGGATGGGAGCCAGAGCTGGCACACCAGGTTCAAGTGCTCCACACCAGAGCCAGGCCTCCATGCTGAGCACTGGGCTCCCCTGCCCGGCCTGCAGCACCTAGGGGAGGGGATGAGCCCTCCCCTGCAGCAGGACAGGGTCATCCCATGCAGGTCCCATCCCACCTGGTGGATCTCCTGCCAGCCGTTCTCATCCACGCAGCCGAGCCGGGCGTAGTCGTGCAGGAGGAGCTCGCAGCAGTAGGGATCCCCCCCCACCATAGCACTGTGGTACAGCGGCGTCAGCCCTCGGCTGTCCTTGTAGTCTGGAGAGGCACCGAGGTCCAGCAGGGTCTGCAAGAGGAGCACAGCTTCACTCTGTGCCTCAGGGACTGGGCACTGGGAAAGCCTGGCCCACAATGGGGCCAGGGGTGCTCCAGCCACAGCAGCACAGAGATCACCCCAGCACAGAACCACAGCATCACCCAGGATGGAAGAGCCCTTCAAGCTCATCCAGTCCAACCGTTCCCAGCACTGCCAAGGCCACCACTGCCCCATGGCACTGAGGGGGTGTGAACCCTTGCAGGGCCGGTGCCTGCAGCCCTGCCCTGGGCAGCCTGTTCCAATGCTGAGCACCCTCTGGGGCAGGAATTGTTCCTCAGCTCCATCTAACCCTGCCCTGGTGCAGCTTGAGGCCGGTTCCTCTTGTCCCATCCCTTGTTCCTTGGGAGCAGAGCCCAGCCCCTCCTGGCTCCATCCTCCTCTCAGGCACTTGGAGGCAGCCATCAGGTCCCCCCTGAGCCTTCTCTTCTCCATCTGAACCCCCCAGGTCCCTCAGCCCTTCCCCATCTCCCCTGTGCTCCAGGCCCTGCTCCAGCTCCATTCCCTTCTCTGGCCCCGCTCCAGCCCCTCAATGTCTCTCTTGCAGTGAGGGGCCCAGAGCTGAGCACAGGATCTGAGGTGCGGCCTCCCCAGTGCCCAGCACAGGGGCCCAATCCCTGCCCTGGCCCTGCTGCCGCACTGGTGCTGGTCCAGGCCAGGATGCTGGGGGCTCCCTGGGCACAAGCTGCTCATGCTCAGCTCCATCCCTCAGCACCCAGCTCCTTTCCCATGAGCAGTTTCCAGCCGCTCTTCCCAAGCCTGCAGCGCTCCATGGGGTTGCTGTGACCCAAGTGCAGGAGCCGGCACTTTGCCTTCTTGAACCCCACCCATGGATCCAGCCTGGCCCCTTCCCCAGGGTCACGTTGTCAGTGCCCCCAGCTCCCCAGAGCAGCCCCATTGTGGCCCTGGGGCACTCACCAGCAGCGCGGCGTGGTTGCGGCACCGCACGGCCCTGTGCAGCGCCGTCATCCCCTCGCGCGTGCGGAAGTCCAGGTGCGCGCCCCCGTTGCGCAGGGCCTTGATCATGTCCGTGCTGAGCTCCAGCTGGGCCGCCGCCGTCAGGGGACACTCTGTGGGCATGGGGACACCAATGAGCACCAGGGACACAGCTGAGCACCACAGACACCGATGAGCACCACAGACACCGATGAGCACCACAGAGACCACCGCAATGATCGCGGTGTCCCACACACCAGTGACAGCCCCGTGCACCAGTGCCTGTCCCAGCTCCGAATGTGAACCACCCATCCCAGATGGGAGGATCTTGGGACCTCCCCTCACCTCTCGGGAACCCGCATCAGTGCCAGCTCCCAGCAGTACCAGCCCTAAGCCCTGCGATGCCCAGAGCCTGGGCTCGCTCCATTGCAGGATAGAATGGAGCAAGTCGCTAGAGAGGACACTGACAGTCTTTTAAGGCCCATCACTTCTGTGCCAAAGAGAACTGCTTTGATGTCTGTCATCAGCACTGACTTTTGGATACTGGTTTTCACCATAACTTCTACCAAATCCCATCCTTAACGACAGTTGCTGATTTGGAGAGCACACGTTGGGCCCTTGCAGTATGACAGGAACTTCAGGTTGTGCGGATGCATCCTGAATCCCAAAGACTGAGAAAGGCCCGAACGGGGCATTTCAAGATGCTCTGGAGGAACTGCAGACAGCAATTTGTTCACTAAAGCTAATGCAATCACTGCCTAATGTGGGGTTTAGTGATTCCCTCTGGTAATTCTGGGGAACGTGCGTATCCTAAGACATGCTTCAAGTAATTCACTAACAAGCGCACAAGAGCCACAGCAGAAAACAAGAACCAGCAACACTGCATGTTCCCTGGTGGAAAATCTGATTAATGAGGTAGGAAGGAGCTGCCGTTGGGCTTTGCCTTTGGCAGATGGGAGCAGTATTGGGGGTGTCAGGAGAACTGGGGTTCATGTGGTAGGGCTCAACCTGACCTGTCAGTGTGCACTCGAGCCCAGAACCCCCCCGTGTGCTGGGTGCGCCCCAGAGTGTGAGCAGCAGCTCAGGGAGGGGATCCTGCCCCTCTGCTGCATGAAGGGGAGACCTGAGAGCAGCTCCAGTGCCTAAAGGGGCTGCAGGAAACCTGGAGAGGGGCTTGGGACAAGGGCCTGTAGGGACAGGCCAAGGGGAATGGCTTGAACCTGCCCGAGGGGAGACTGAGCTGAGCTCTTAGGCAGAAGCTCTTCCCTGTGAGGGTGCTGAGGCGCTGGCACAGGGTGCCCAGAGAAGCTGTGGCTGCCCCATCCCTGGCAGTGCTCAAGGCCAGGTTGGACACAGGGGCTTGGAGCAAGCTGCTCCAGTGGAAGGGGTCCCTGCCTGTGGCAGGGGTTGGAGCTGGATCAGGTTTAAGGTCCCTTCCAACACAAACTATATGAGCATATTCTATTCCTAAGGCAAAGAACTCTGTATTCTGTGGTTCTAAGGCAAAGCCATTGAGGGAAGCTGGGAAACCCCCGAGATTGCTCCAACACCAGCAGGAACGAGCTCCTCATTCTAATACCAACATCATTTAGGAAAAAGGGGGGATCTCTGTTCAAGCTGAGATGACAACAGGCTGGATACGAAAGTTCATGCAAGCTTCTGCAGAGGAGGGTTCCTGTCTCCCCAGGGTTCCTACAGACCTACAGTGCACAGCAACAGGAAGTTTCTGCCTGTGACAACTACTACCTATAGGTAGAACCCCATGGTAGAGTTTTCCAGCAGTAAATGAAAGAATTATAAGATTTCAACCCCAATTTCAGCTGAATGCAAACACACCATTCCATGAATCTCCTGTTGCACATCAGATTCAAAGAGATGCCACCAGTTTGCTTATGAGATTGCAACAAGATTAACAGATTGCAGTGAGCTTTAACAGTTTGCAATGAGATGAACAGATTTCAAACAGAAAAGGACAAGAACTTCACAAATCACAAGCCATTGGGTTTCATCTAACCACAATTGGGGCCAAACCAGCCCTTTCACCTGTAAGTTCCAGCTACTAAAACTGAAAGCAAGAGGAAATACATCACACACGAATGGGAGTTATTCAAGGTGGTCATCAAGTACAGGCATCACTCCCCAGCCAGCACAGGCTGGATGCAGCACAGGCAGAGCAGGGAAGGAGCAAGCTCCCGCACTTGGGCACAGGGCTGTTCCTTGCAGCCAGCAGAAGGCTGGGGAGGCAGTGCAAGGCTTTCTCCCCAATTACCTGCTCCTGCTGCTATTTGTCCTCACCTCGTCCCGGGGCCGTGGTCTGTGCAGTCAAGAGCTCTCTTTGTCAATGCAATCACTGCCTCGTTCCCTGCTGCTCCCCAGTGGCCTCCCCGTGTTAAACCCTGAGGATCGCCTCTCTCTTTCCCACACGCTCAACTCTCCCTCGGGCTCGGGGCTAATTTTAGGATAACGGTAAAACTGCTCATGTATTTTATTAACACCCTCAGAATGTACCTACAGGAACCTCTGTGAAATTTTCCCTTTAGTCTCTTCCCGACGGTTCATCTTTCCCAGAGCATCCTCCTGCAGCACTGAAACCTGAACAAATGAGGTGGCAAATGATGGCTCATGACTGAGCAGAGCCAGAGGAAGGGAAACACGTGCGGCTTAAAACCACCCCCAAAAGCAGCTGAAATGAAGGTAACAGCCCAGGATGATGCTGGATCTTCCTGCTGGCTCTGCTGGGAGGGGGGCACCACAAAGCATGGAACATTCCATGGTGCAGTCTGTTATTCCATGTCCATTGACTGGATTTAACTCTGCAGAACATTCCTCCGAGCAGGGCAGCCCAGTGTGTGCCTTGGGCTCCAACCCCCCCTGTACCAGATTACACATACACATGTGCTGTGCTGATGGCTGAAGAAGGGAAGCCTTTCCCTCCTAACACTGGGGGAACACCTGCATGAGAATTCCCAGAGCATGGCTGCTGCGGGTCCTGGGGGGACAAGGAACAGCACAAGGTGGGAAGAGAAACCAAGAGCAAGCACAGGGATTCTGGTGGTCCAGGTGATGTGGGCAGATGTGCATTACCCTTCTCATGTGCAGCACGGGTACATCCCTCTGAGCACCGCTGTTCAAACCTGTGGCAGGGTGACAGGACTTTGATTTAAAAGGAAATAGCTCATGAGTGAGGGAAGAGACCTTGCAGGCTGCAGGTAAATGTTCATCTCTCTCCCTGCGAGGAAGAGCATCCTGGATAATGACCCACAAGTGGTTTCTGCTGGGATAGTTTTTAACCCAGGTCAAGAGAGGTAGAATAAAAGGCTACAGAAACTGAGCAGAGGGTGAATCAGTTTAATGAGGCATCTGTTCGGCACAGTCTCTGAGACAGCAAGAACAGCAGGGCAGGAACACGCTGCCTTTGGCTGGGGACAAATGGAACACTTGTGTTCCCAGGAGTGGGTAAAAACCAAGCTTTAGCTGCTGAAGAGCTGAATGTCTGAAATCTCAAGGGCTTGGATTCCTCCCCCCCTTCCACTTTTGCAGGAGAAAGGAGAGTAAATGGTGTTCGTAATTATCCAAGCTGCTGAAGATCCAGCCACACAGAAAGCAGCAGTTGGTGTCAGAGCCTATTTGCAATATCCCTGGTAGAGTCATCCCTAGAGACGCAGTGGATGAAAGAGCATTGCTAACAGCAAAGCTGCTCTGCCTAAAAGGAGACTGGATTTACTACCGTGATTCGTAAAGGGTGTCTGAGGAGTTAAGAATAGCACGTATGTGCTGCAGCTTTTTCTGTCTTTGCTAAATGCCAAGCACTGGAAATACCACCCTTCATTTATTGCTTCTCTTGGAATTCATACTTGGACACCTGCCCATGGGCCCATCAATGTACAGATAAACCTGAGCCCTCTGGGTTAACAATTCAGTACTGAAGTACCCCCAACCACAGGTAGACTTCAGTTTGCAAGGTACCCAGGAGGGATGAGGCTGGACTTGGCAGCAGTGACCTTTTCTCCCATGCACAGCAGGAGAAAGGCAAGAAACACACAAGGAGAAAGGCAAGAAACCCCCAAGACCTTTTGGAAAGAGTGTTTCCTCCCTTTGCCTGTATCCTCTTTAGTTTCAAGTGTCACCAGGTTCCCACATCTGGCTGATGGATGAGGTGGGCAGCCCCTGGCAGAGACGGGAGGACCGCTGCTCCAGAAGGACTTGGGACAAGGATGTTCAAACACTCCCTGAGAAGCTGAAGAAGGCCAAAGCTAAAAACCCAAACCCCAAGAACTGAAAGATTTTAGGTTTCTGGACATGGTGCAATGGGGATGGCACCTGAACAGAGAACATCTATGGCAGTTTGTGGCACTGGTGTCTTCAGAAAGTGGGAGCACTGGAGGAGGATTCATTACCAGTAACTGCTTCCCCTTCAGCTCTTAGACTGAAATATCACTCTGAGCCAGCTGGCCGTGGTGGACCAAAGGCCAAATCACCCAGGGTCTTCCCCTTCCAGAATAAGGTATTGTTAAATTAATGCTCTTCTTTCTCTCTACACCCTTCCTCTGCTGCCACAGGGGCTGGCAAGGAGATGGTGTCCTTCAATGAGCCTTCACTGGCTGCATCCTCAGCAGTTCCCTCTGTGCCCAGGTTTCCTGGGTCTGTCCTCCCCAGTCTGCCTCTGATTCCCACTGGGCACTGAGCACACTCACTTCAGCGGACTGAGATGTGGTTAAACCCCTTGGAACTAAACCCACCAGCCAGAGCATTCATTCACCCCTCAGCCCTGGCTCAGCAGCATCAAGGCAGCAGGGGGAACAGACAACAGTTACAGGTTTACTTTACCATTCGCCACAATAAAAGTACCCTGCACATGTGTGTATCTATCTTCTCCCCGAACAAGCTGGTACAATGCAGGATCTCCAGGGACACGCATCACTCACACTGTCGACTCGCTCCCAGGAAGCGCAGTGTGAAACTTCTAGTGGAAAACGAAGAATCTGAAGAAAACACTTCACTTTCTTTCTGTCCAGTACCCTGAAACTCAGCTGAAATGCACTGGGCTCTTAACAACAGCACCAAAGCATTGGGGAAAACAGGGAGAGGCCTCTAGGTATGGGAGTGAGACACCACAAAGATGCTCTTGGATTTT